AGGGAAAGATACACTCCATGTGTCATTCACAAAGGAGCATTTTTTTACATAGGATGGCAGCTAAAATGAGGCCAGCAAAGCAGATTTTTACTCACTCACAGGTTTAGGAAAAACTACTTTTCTCTTTTGTTCCCATTTTCCTGACTACAGTGGAAATGACTCTTCCATGATTTGTGTGGTGGGAAAGGTTGGTTGGTTGTGGTGATCATACAGGTTCATAATTACCTAAATATTATTCTCTAAATTGTTTACCAATCTTTTAGATCTTGTCAGTACCATCTGAAACCTATCAGGGCTTTTCATATCTCTGAATAACTTGGGGTTTGGAGTAATTTGGCTTTCAGAGGATTCATCTAGTGACTGCTTGGAATGAAAATTTCTACCATCAGATCTTCAGTATTACCTTTGTGTCCAAGGGCACAGTATTTCTGCTGAACTCAGGAACTCTGTTTTGGAGCTAGTATTTTGATCTAAAATGGGATTAATGGGAAAGAGGGAAGTAGAGTAATTGGGTTTTTTTCCCCCTTACTCTACTATCCCAAGCATGAAAATCTTATTTAGCCTTATATTGGAGCCTACACTTTATGTATATTCCATGAATAATTACTGGGATAATTACTGGGCTTATCTGCACAGAATTTTCAGCACTTCCTGTATTAATTGCCAGGGTGGTTTCTGTCCTGTAGAACCAAAGGCTGTTTCTCCACTTGGCATCTCAGATGTTGTTCTGTCCTTTGACTGAAAAATCCAGATATACCATATAACAACGTGCACGTTCTGTTGATTCTCAGCATGATTTGTTTTATTCCTTGTCCTCATTGATTTTCAATTTTCTCTTATCCTTTTTTTTTTTTTATATAGCCCTTTTAGGCTCTCCAGCTGGTGGAATCCAAAATTCCATTGGTTCAGTGGGCACAGGCCAGCAGAATACTCCATCACTAAGTAATACTAATCCAATTGATCCCAGCTCCATGCAACGAGCCTACGCTGCTCTTGGGCTGCCCTATGGCAACCAGCCTCAGACCCAGCTGCAGCCCCAGGTCCAAGGCCAGCAGCCAGCACAGCCTCAGGCTCACCAGCAGATGAGGACCATTAATGCATTGGGTAGGTGGAAAAAAACCCCAAAACAACCCAGAAACAAAGGTGTTAAAATAAACTGAACTGGTCCGTTTTTATTATAGTCTAGTATTTCACTTGGTCAGAGTAATTACTTTCTTTTTGTGTTGATTAATAACTTGAAAACATATGTAAACACTACCCGTCATTTATGTTTGAACACTAGAAAGCTTTGGATATTTTGCTGCTAATAACAGTACTTTTAGTTTATTTTAAAATGCAGTCCATAGCTTATTGTAGTCTGAGGTGATGGGACATATTTGCTGAAGGCTTTTGGTTTGTTTAGCAAGCATTTCACCTGTTCTAGCAAAAAATTCTATTTCAAATGTTGATTTCTGTCTGGAACTTAATTGTAGTATTACCTTCTTTTTAGCTTGTTGAGCTCATCTTAAGAGTTTATGAATTGTACTGTTTTTTGTAGAAAAAAATGTTCAGACTGAAAGTACATTTTTTATTTCATAGGTAATTATGCATATGCACCCCAGCAGATATTATGATAAAAGTACTTACCTGATACAGTATTAACCAGATGGGTCAGTAAAGTGTAGTTTTGTCATGTTACTGCCAAAATTGTGAACTGGGTATCAATGATGTTTAATTTTGTCCCAAAGGAGCCAACCAGATGAACCTTCCTGCAGGAGGAATAACAACAGACCAGCAAACTCCTCTAATTTCTGAAACTGCTCTTCCAACATCCCTTGGGACAAATAAGTAATGCACACATTTTCATTGTTGCTCAATTAAACATTTATTTACATACTTATGACTATAAATAAGGAGCATGCTTTAAAAGCTAATTGTATTGGCATGGAAAGGATTAGTCAACTCTCTAGCTATGCTGTTCTTTCCTATTTCAGTTCTGTATCTACCGTTTTGTCCCCCCCAGTGGTTCCAGAATATTTAGTAGTTGTAAATGAATTCCTAAAGGAAGAATATTTTGTATTTTTAAGTGTAGAAATACTTATAACAGTTGTGATTCTTTGTTACAGAATCACAGAATGTCAGGGGTTGGAAAGGACCTCTGGAGATCATCTAGTCCAGCCCCCTGCCAGAGCAGGGTCACCCAGAGCAGGTTTGGAATGTCTCCAGAGAAGGAGGCTCCACAACCTCTCTGGGCAGCTGTTCCAGTGCTCTGCCACACTCAAGAAAGTTCCTCCTCATGTGTAGATGGAACTTCCTATGTTCAAGTTTCTCCCCATTACCTCCTGTCCTGTCACTGGGCACCACTGAAGAAAGCCTGATCCCATCTTCCTGACACCTACTTTTTAAGTATTAATAAGATCTCCCCTCAGTCTTCTCTTCTCCAGTCTAAAAAGACCCAAGTTCCGCAGCCTTTCCTCAAAAGAGAGATGTTCTAGTCCCCTCATCATCTTTGTAGCCCTTTGCTGTCCCGTCTCCAGCAGTTCCCAATCCTTGAACCAGGGAACCCAGAACTGAGCACGGTTCTCCAGATGCGGCCTCACCAGGGGACAGTAGAGGGGGAGGAGAACCTGCTTGCCACATTTTTCTTGTTGCCATTGGCCTTCTTGGCCACGAGCACATTGCTGGCTCATGGTCATCCCGTTGTCCACCAAGACTCCCAGGGTTTTTTCCACAGGTCTTCTCTCCAGCAGGTCAGCCCCGAGCCTGTACTGATCCATGAGGTTACTCCTCCTCACTAGGTGCAGTACCCTGCACTTGCCCTTGTTGAATTTCAGGTTTCTCTCTGCCCAACTCTCCAGCCTGCCCAGATCACACTGATCCAACCCTCTGGTGTATCAGCCACCCCTCCCAGTTTGGTGTCACCAGCAGACTTGCTGAGGGGCCACTCTATCCCTTCATCCAGATCACTGATGAGTATATGTCCAGGGCTGGACCCAGTACTGACCCCTGGGGAGCCCCACTTGTTAGAAACCTCCAGCTAGACCCTGTGCCACTAATCACAACCCTCTGAGCTCATTTTTTTCAGCCAGCTTTCAATCCGCTCCACTGCCCAGTCTAACCCACGCTTCCTAAGCTTGCCTGAGAGATGCTGTGGGAGGCAGTGGCAGAAGCCTTGCTGAAGTCAATGTAGACAACATCCACTGCCCTCCCCTCATCTCTCCACCCAGCCGTGCCATTGTAGAAGGCTCTTGTTTATACTGTGTCTTGTAAACTCCTGAGTCTTGCTGCTTTATTCTTTGCAGTTTGTTGATACAAAAAATGGTGTGATGTTATTTCACTTCAACAGTGTTTGATGTGAGAAGTGGTTGCTTAAAAATCACCTCAGGCATCAAACGTACAACAAAACTTTGCATTCTGCTGCTGTAACAGTCCCTTTTTATTTTAGCCCACTAATGAATGATGGCACAAATTCTGGCAATGTTGGAAACCTCAGCTCAATGCCAACAGCTGCACCTCCTTCCAGTACCGGGGTAAGGAAAGCTTGGCATGAACATGTCACTCAGGACCTGCGCAATCACCTCGTGCATAAGCTGTGAGTATTCACCAAAACTGCTGCCTGATTGCCCCAAAGGGTTTTTTTTAAAGAATTTCAATGCAGTAGTTCTACTATTAAGCTGAAAAATTGTTGAGAAAAGTTGTCAGTAGTAGTTGTGTGATGCTGGGCTGCTGAGGGTGAGCTATTACCTCTAACCCTCCTCTTCAGTTAGTTCTTCGTGCTCATAGAGTTGCACAGTCACAGAGCGGTAGGGTTGGAAGGAACCTGTGAAGATCATCTAGAGTAGGGTCACCTACAAAAGATCCCTCAGGAATATGTCCAGACAGGTTTGGAATGTCTCCAGAGAAGGAGACTCCACAACCCTGGGCTGCCTGTCCCACAACTCTGTTACCCTCACAGTAATGAAGTTTTTCCTTATGTTTAACTTGACCCTCCTGTGCAGTAAAGAACTGCCAGTTTAACAAAAAGGAGTGGGCATGAGATTAGTTTATACTGCTTGTAAATTCACTTTGCTGTAGAAAACGAGTATTCAGACTCTTAGGCTGTCAAACCTCACTTTTTTCATCATTGATTTTGCTTTAATCTTGTGGAGAATAGTCCAATTCATTTTTTTAAACAATTTTTATGAGTTCTTACATCTCTTGATGTACAGAGGAATGTCCAGGTAGAGTATTATAAAGCTGTATTGCAATACATTCTTTTTTCTCTGCTTAGTTTTCATTTCTTCTTCTGACTTGCAGTGTCCAAGCCATCTTCCCCACTCCTGATCCAGCAGCACTGAAGGATCGTCGCATGGAGAACTTGGTGGCTTATGCCAGGAAAGTGGAAGGAGACATGTATGAATCTGCCAACAGCAGGGTATGTTGCTCCAGTCCAACTAGTCAGTACAGCCGTGGTGAGGCTGCACCTTGAGCACTGTGTGCAGTTTTGGGCACTGCAGAATAGGAAGGACATCCAGGTGCTGGAGAGGGTAAAGAGAAGGGCAACTAGGCTGAACAGGAGAACAGGTCTTATGAGGAGAGGCTGAGGGAGCTGGAGCTGTTCAGCCTGGAGAAGAGGAGGCTGAGGGGAGACCTCATTGCTCTCTACAACTGCCTGAGAGGAGGTGGTGGTGAGTTGAGTGATGACCTCTTCTCCCTAGTGATTAGGGAAAGGACAAGAGGAAGTGGGGTCAGGTTGCATCAGGGGAGGTTCAGATTGGATATTGGGAAAAATTTCTTCAGACATAATTCCTGTTCTTTTTCATGCTTTTTGGCTCTGCTTGCTCAGAAGTATCAGTTCAAATCTCCCTTACTCAGAGGGAGCAAATCCCCATTGATTGACATACTGAGGATACTGGTAATTCTGCTCTAAAGGAACCACTTCCTGAAAGTTCTCATCAAATAAAGACAATATTAATAGTGCCAGAAATAATAACTAGTGAGATCTGACCTGATCAGAATCTTGAGGTCCTGTCTTAAATAAGAGATAAGACTTATCTAAAGAGAGTGGTTAGTGGCATTTAGGTGATAATATCCAGTGAGACAGTCTGTGCCTCTCTCAGACCATCTCCCAGAAGAGCTGAAGATGGAATGCAAGTTTTATTTCCTAGAGGCATTTAGGCAGTGGCCATCCTTGTAATGCCACTGCTGTGTCACTGTTGGTCAATGACAATATCATATTCTCCTTGTGCCTCCCAAGAGGCAGTTGAGCAAGGAAGACTTACGTGTGATCACCCTTGATCACCCTGGCAGCTTTGGAGAACAACTTCAGAGGGAAGGGGGATTAGACATACGTTGGCATCTGAATGCCTTCTCAGTAAGGATGGGTGGAGTAGACTTCTGCTTATAAAACTAAATGTCTTACAACCTCTATGCCAGACAAATACCCAGAAGCATCTTCACCCCCTAAAACAGCTATCAGAGCCTTCATTCCCAGAAGTCTATTTTATGGGAATTCATCAAACATGTTTGGCTTCAAGCAGCAAACTTGGAAGAAGGGGAGTAGTTTAGAATGTATTAATAGTGCTGTGTGGAATTGCATCCTTCTTTTTGAGAAGCATCCATTCCACTTGGACATTGAAAAACAGATTAGTATGAGGCAACATAGTGAGCAGTTTGAAGATGCTTTAGGAGTTTGTGCTCCTTGTGAGCATGTCCTTTTTCAGGAATCTTTGCACTGTGAAAGTAGCACAATATTAAATTTACAAGTAGGAAGATGGAGGTGAAGTGTCTTGAGCTGGAGGAGGGAAGGAGCTGTGGTGCTTTTACACTGGGCAGCAGGAAGTGTCTGCACTGGTGGATTTTGGAGACATTTGGAGGAGGGAAATTACCTAGAAAGAAAGCTTTATATTGGGCTTTAACAAGGGTGGTGAGGAATACTTGTCTCATTATTTTTCTGAAATGCACTCAGTCCTACAAATTTTATTTTTTATGAAAACTGGATGAAGACAAAATTATTAAGGGACAAGCCTCACTCAGCTTTTGCTCCAAGCAACACTAGGTTTTAAAAGCACAGGTGGCCCCACAAAATAAATGTAGTCTTGTGAGTTTATGGGGTTTTTTGCCTTAAACAGGTGCATAATCTCATGCACTTGACAAACGTGTCCAGTAGTTGCTGACAAGCAAAATTGTCTACCTTGCTGTGCACTGTGACTGTCTTATTTGATCTGTTTTCAGTGTGGATTGAGTAAAATAGATTTTTCATCTTGTGCAGATGTAGTGTTTAGTTTTCTGTGCCTGTGGACTATTTTTCACTGATTTTTCTCCTCTCCTTTGGGGTTTTGTTTATTCCCTGCAATGATTGTTGGTAGTCGGACACTCTAGGAAAAGAGTGGTACCTTTCCTCATGTAAAAATTGATCTGTCCTTAACATCTGTCTCCTGAAGTTTATTCAGTGGACTGTGTTGCTGGAGACATCTTTTTCTTTGGTCTGCAAATTAGTGGAAATGCTTATTGAAAATAACACCTCAAAATAATTAACACTTGTAAACTAAATCACAGCTTCCTGTTGTTTTTTGTCCAAGCAACAGAGAACCTACAGTCTTTGTCTTCTGATCTCCTCAGAGTAGATATGAAAGACAGCCATAAAGCTGAATCTCATGTGCTTTCTATAAGTCTGTTTTTCCTTTTCTGCATTAAAGCTGTGATAAAATTGTGTCAATTTAACAGAATTCTGAAAAGAAATAGGTCTTGCTCAAGTAAGCTGGTATATACATGAAAAAAGTAAACCAGACTGGTGACAACATGCTGGAAGATTATACTTGACACTGAGTGTTGGTTATTTTTTTTTCCTCTTTTAGGATGAATACTATCATTTATTAGCAGAGAAAATCTATAAGATCCAAAAAGAGCTGGAAGAGAAAAGGAGGTCTCGTCTCCATAAACAAGGGATGTTGGGGAATCAGGCAGCCTTACAGACCCCAGGACCTCAGCCCCCTGGGATCCCCCAGGTGGCTGCTGCCATGGGCCAGGCACAGCCCGTGAGGCCACCCAGTAAGTCCTTCTGTAGGAGACACTTGTGCATTTCAACTGGAGCTCTGCACAGTTTGTGTCCTGGGGCTCTGCTGCTGAGCTGGAGTTCATATTTTAAACTGGTTTTGCTGACCATTCTTCTGTTGTGTTGCAGATGGGCCTATGTCCATGCCAACTGTGCCTATCAGTCGTATGCAGGTGTCTCAAGGTATCTATGTTTTCCTCTCTCATTGCAATTTGTGGGTTCAAAAATGCTTGTGAGGGAGGGAAGTGCTGATCTGGTTTGCTCTTGGAGTTTGGGTGGGGGGAACTACAGGGTCTCCTTTATTTCAGCATCACTCTGCTGTTGTGGCAGGAAGTGTCTCTGCAGTCTTAAGGAATCACAGTGTGTGTCCAATTCTTCACTAGCAATAGGGAATCAATTCAGTCCTCTTGAAAAGAGGAGGGTGCAAGCAAGAACACCATGGATAATCTAATTTAAAACTCAGTAATGGCAGGGATGGGGAGGATGTTGGCATGTTTTCATCAGTCAAAATACACCTGCAGCTGGAAACTTAGCAAATTAATCCTAGAATCTGTAGAACTAAAAATATTTTTTCTTGGTTTCTGATGCAAAGTGCATCTAAAAAAGCCTTGTAGCTTGTTTGTAGCACTGATGGCTTTACCACCTCTCATTTAGATTGCTGTGGATGGGTCATGGATGTTTGTTTATTTTCTGAAAAATGCAAACCTGTGACTTTTAGGTGCTTCACCTTCCTCCAAAGAGTGTCCCAAATTATTTTATTTCTTGGTTCAGAAATAATAGTAAGTTGAAACTTGTGTTGAAATGTCCTTGAGAAGTTACATTCTTATAAAATTCATTTCAATAGGGGAAGAAGTTGATAGCAGGTATAGCTCCATAATTATTTATTTACACCTTCATTCCGCTTAGACAAGTTTAGGTTTTTTGGAGCAGTTAAATGTTTTCTATAAAAAGCACAACACCTTTTTCAGCATATTGGTAGCTTTTGTCCTGATTTGAGGCTAGGAGCTGCCTGCATATTTATGCACAATATGTATTTTTATCATATTCACTTCAGCCATTTCAGTGAGGCCTGAATAAGACTTTGCTGTTACAAAGTAAATGCCTGATTATAATAAACCATCCCAAGGTATTATTTGCAAATAGCATCTTGTCTTGGCAGGTTATCCACACTCTTCATCTTTTGCATTATCTTTTTTTTTAAGACAGCAGAAGTTGTATTTCACCTGAAATATTCTTCTAAATACTTCTTGCATCTTAAGCCAAGTAATTTGAAGGAAGTTAGATGAAATAGAGGGAAGTCAAACTCGAGTTGTAATAAATGTTAACCCTGTAGTAGAGTTTTACATACATCAATTCTGATGACTTGTTCCTAATGAGTTGTTTTGGGGGTGCATTTGCAGGAATGAATCAGTTTAACCCCATGTCCATAGGGAATGTACAGATGCCACAAGCACCCATGGGACCCCGTGCAGCTTCTCCAATGAACCACCCAGTTCAAATGAACAACATGGGCACCGTTCCTGCGGTTCGTACCTCTCCTTGTTCCCAAGCTCTTTCCACAGTTAGTTGATAACATTTAACAGTGTTCATGCTCTTCTGAAAAGGCCATGGCATAGAATAACACTGTAAATTGTAGGATAATTTCATAGATATGTACCCAGTCTGTCAGGCTTTTATTGAGGTGTTTGTTTTCAATATTTACCTGGTTTAAAACAAAAAAATCCCCTAAACTGGAGGGGGTAATGGCAGAGATGCAATAATCTCCAGCAGTTTGTGAAAGAGCATAGTTATTTCCCAGACTGTGATTGCAGCACACAGATTTTCTTTATTCCTCCATGGAAACATGTTTTTATTCTTTAGAAAAACAAAAGTATTTTCAGTTTCACTGGTTTATCTCTGTTAGCTTAGAGAACCAAATGGAGTCTTAACACTCTCAGTAGAGTTTTGAATTTTACCTGTTTAAAAATAATTTCTTCTTGAATACTGTGGAACAAATGCTGAAGTTACCTGCATATGCCCACTTCCATTTGCTTTACTGAAACCACTTTGCTTTTATTTGTTCTCCTATATTTTGGTCAATTACATAGAGGGTATTTTGTTTTCCTACATGATATTAAATGGTGACCTCTTTAATTTGGGTGTTCATGTTTAGATGGCAATGTCTCCTTCCCGAATGCCTCAGCCACAGAACATGATGGGAGCTCATTCCAACAACATGATGGGTCAGGCTCCTACCCAGAACCAGTTCCTGCCCCAGAATCAGTTTCCAGCATCCACTGGGGCTATGAATGTGAACAATGTGGGTATGGGTCAGTCGACAGCCCAGGCCGGGGTGGCACAGGTAAGATGTGTTTTCTAATGCTTGGTTTGTTTCCTCTTAATTATTTTGTTCTAATATAATGTGTATGTTTCTATATCCATTGTTTACTGTAGTCACATCTACTTTAAGGGATCCAGGGTTACATCTGCCTTCTTCATAAGCTCTTGTATAACCAATCAACACATGCTCAATGAGGGGCAATTTTCTGTAATTTCTGGTTGAAATTCTGAACAAATGCATGTAAATGAGATTTTTAGGGGGGGATATCAGAAGGTAGTTTGTGAAACATTGATAAGCAGATTCTTTTGTCTTTGTATGGACCTTAGCAGCTAACTTAAAGTCAAGAATTACAATAAAGTGGTTGGGGAAGTTCTATTAAAATTTGATTTAACCTCTCTGCATTTGAGAAGTTTTTTTCCTGTAACTTGTGTCTGTTACAGTAGTGGTCAGTGAAGGAGCAGCTGTGCTTATGATGCCAAAGCATATGCTTTTCCATAGGGGTAGGCTTGGTTTTTAACTCAGAGTCCCAAATAATTTATGTAAGTTGGGACCTCCAGACTTCTCTAGTCCAGCCCCATCCTCAAAGGAGAGAGAATTTAGATCAGGTTATGAATGGCTCTGTTGAGCCAAGTTTGGAATATATCCAGGATGGAGCATCTAAAGTTTCTTGGTCCCTGGCTTGGTTGTTTGACCACCTTTGTGGTGAGCATATTTTTCCAAATGCACTTAGTTCAATAAAACTGTCAATGCACAGGAAATATTGAAGCATGTTTTAAATTTCAAACCTCACCTGCAGGAAACTGTTAATTGATTTAGCTTTCTAGGAGTAAGAGGTACATCTGGGCATAGAGTATTCTTTTTTATCACTAGTAGTTTAGTGCAACCTTTAGTAAAATTTGTCAAGTCTGTGCAGATCCAGAATACTTTCTTGTTGCTGCTCTGAAAAACAGATCCATAACTTTATTAAGCATCTGATGTCGTCTAATTAGAATTATAAAAGAGAGGGTTGTGTGTTTTACCCCCCAAGTCTTGCCCTGTGCAGTGGGGCAGGCATGAATGTGTTAAGTGCCTTCTGAAACAGGGGTGCTCTAGAGTCCTGGCCTAAAATGTGTATTTGCTTGAAACCACATTGTGTGCAGGGTCTGACCTTTGCCCAGCTAGTGGCACCGTTCACAGATTGTCTGCCTCTGGGCTTCTGCGTTACTCAGAGGTTGTGGGGATTCCCTCTGTGCCAGCAGAACTAATGTAAAAAGACAGGTATGGCATATCTAGGTCTAGAAGCAAGGCCTTGGAGAGCTGATGGAAACAATTAGAGAAATCAGAGCGTGGCCGTTGCAACAGCAGCATTTGTTTGCAGCTAGCCTTGTGCTTAGATGTACCGTGCTCTGTGCAAGCCTCAGTGCTGGGATTTAAAGGATAGGTGTGATGCCCAGAGTTGTGGGAGACACTCATCTGTAAGAGAATCTTTTCTCTCTAGCAGGGGCAGGTTCCCAGTGCTGCTCTTCCCAACTCCATGAACATGCTGGGACCGCAGAGCGGGCAGTTGCCGTGTCCGCCAGTGACACAACCTCCCCTGCACCAGAGCGCGCCTCCCGTCTCCAGCGCGGCAGGGATGCCACCCATCCAGCACCCAAACCCCACGGGTATGACACCTCCTCAGCCAGCAGCACCCACTCAGCCATCGACACCGGTCTCCTCGTCAGGACAAACACCAACACCCACCCCGGGCTCTGTTCCCAACGCCACCCAGACACAAAGCACCCCAACAGGGCAGACTGCGGCGCAGGCGCAGGTCACCCCGCAGCCTCAGACCCCAGTCCAGCCCCAGTCTGTGCCCACCCCACAGCCAACGCAGCAGCAGCCAACATCTGTGCAGGCACAGCCACCTGGCACTCCAGTAAGTACCAGCTTGTTGCATTTTCCTTGTTGTAGTGACATTCCACAAGAGCTCTCCCTGTGTGTAGCACCTTGTCGTGACTGTGTGGAGCCCATCGTTGTCAATAGTAGCTTCTGCATTAGGCCAAGGGGGTTGACTAAGAGATGTGTAAAAAATGTGTGTGTGTTCAGATGTTCTCAGCATTGTTTGAAGGAGGGGGGTGTATTGAATGACTTGAAACTGCTCAAAGTAAAACTGGCAGCCGTGCGAAGAAAGATGAGGTGGAACAGGCCTAATACTACTGTAATTGGCCTTCATCAGAATCAGTCTTTTTTGAGCATGAAATTTGCATCGATTTTTTTCTATTAAGCTTTAGTCAGGATATATGCACATGTCAAGGAATGTACAGTGTTTTACTGGGCAGGCGTTTTCTCTGTAAAAGAAGCCTCTTTGGGGCAGAATTCTTCCTTGGCTTCTCCTCTGTAATGCAGAGTTGTTAAATGTGTTGTATGGAAACTTGGCTACAGTGAGCTCCTGTATCCATGTTCTGCACTGTTGTAGAATATCATCTCATGTCTCTTTTGTGCTGTTCATTTTTAGTAAAGGCAAATATTTCTATATATGCAGTGTCTTTCTTTTGTACTGTTTTTACAACAGCTATCCCAGGCAGCAGCTAGTATTGATAACAGGGTCCCCACCCCTGCCTCAGTTGCTAGTGCTGATACGAATTCCCAGCAACTAGGACCAGATGCACCAATGCTAGAAAGCAAATCAGAAGTTAAAACTGAAGAAACTGAGCCAGAGACTAGTGAGACACAAGTGGAAGCTAAGACTGAGGTAAATGAGATTCTATACAGCTTAACTGAAAGCAGTGATAGATATAAAAACACTTAATGATGTGTCTGAATTGGTGAGCTAAGGGGCGAGAGGAGGGTAGTTACTGGAAAGTAACTGTCCTGAGGAAAGCCATGGATGGAGAGTGCTTTGACAATCTCAAACTAAGATTTTGGATGAGTCAAGTTTAGGCCAGAGATGTAATAGTACATTTCATTGCATCCTTTCTTAAGGTGGAGGAGGATTTGCAAGGATCTTCACAAATAAAAGAGGAAACGGATGGAACAGAACTGAAACAGGAGCCGATGGAAATAGAGGAAAAGAAGCCTGAAATAAAAGTAGATGTTAAAGAGGAAGAGGAGAGTGGGACTAATGGAACCACTTCACAATCCACGTCGCCATCTCAGCCCCGCAAAAAAAGTATGTGTATGAAAACTGAGTTCTTCTTTTGTGTGCTTTGTTACTAGCATTTGTTTTCCATGGGCTCAGTTCCTGCTAGGTCTGTTTGGCACCTGTATTCCAGCACATGGAGCTCTAGGAGATCCATACTTCATGTCTTTTGTTTTTGAAAGTAGCATTCCTTTAATGCTGTGTTGAGAAAAGCATGTCAGTGCAGCCTCGATCCCAGCAGTCTTCTCACTGCCTCCAGTTTCTGCCCTGAAGGACCAAGGCAGTGATGGCTGGAGAAGTTATATGCCTAAGTCTCTCCCTGTACATTTTGGCCAGTGCTCTTTCAAGGGAGCTTAGTGTAGACAGGGTGCCCTCAGTAACCAAGAACATCCATTGCTTTGTTTTTCTATTAGAGGCTGCACAGTCTACCTTTGTTCTGAGTTTTAGCTTCCACCTCTCTGAGAATCAGGTGCTTGAACTCTTCTGAGTCTTTTCTCCAGGGATCATCATCTGCAATAGCAGGACTTCTAAGTCCTGAGTAATTTTTAAATGCAGTGTTCATTTCAAATCTTTCTCCTTAGAAATAGGTCAGTAATCTCTTAAATTAATCTACAGTGTTAGCATAGATTTAGATGTAAATGTATTGATGGCATTACAGGTTGTGAATGGACTCACAGCAATGGCTGCATGCCTTGGGTTAGTAAGAAGAATTAAGAAGTAAAGAAGTAAAGTCAAATTCTTAAAGAATCTTAAATTACTCCATGAAAGAAGAAATTACTCCATTTGTAGGGCAGGCTTTGTGGGAACCTGCAAGATAAGTTTTTGGACTCAAAACACTTGAGCTATTCAGAGATCTCTCCTAGCATCCTGGTTTTTGAGATGGTGTTTTCTGTGGTTAGCTTGTAGGCTTTGACCAAAGGTAAGTTTTCAATGGGCTGCAAATGTCAAAAAAGAGGAAGTGATGATCCATCTCCTTTTCTTCTTCTTCCCTTGCAAAGGAAACTGCACATAGCAACATTAGGAGAACATTATGGGTGTGTGATTTCCAGAAGGTGATCAAGAAATCATAAAGTTTTAACATTTGAGCTGCTCAAATCTTGCTCTTGTATGTGCCTTGGGTTCCTTTTAGTCACTAAACATCTTTTGGTAATGAAACACTATGAAACACATTTTCCTAGAGATGGTATTTTCAGTTTGTATCACAGAGGAACAGCTGAATGAGAGTGCAGAGCTAACTGGCAGAGCCTACTCTGAACAAAATGTGACACAGGGAGTGAAAAGCTTATTAGCATTTATTAACTGGTTCCATTCCCAGTGGAAGGACTCATTGCTGGTTGCTGGAAGGAGTGTGCTTGGAGTAAGTGGAGGCAAGTGGTTGATGGAGGAAGGTTCTTGCAGAATTAGTCCATGGAAGAGCTGGACTGTCTTTGGCTGATGCAGTCTGGGTTACTACCTATCACTAATACCTCATCACTTACTATCATTTAATACATGTGAAACATGGGCAGGTGCAACACACACACTTGTAACATTTTCTCACCAAGTAGTTTGTCCAACTTTATATTAGAGCATTTGTATTAAAATGCTAAATAAGCCAAGAGGTATTCAAGAGCAAATACTGTGAAGTGTGCTTAAGGATTCTGTGGTGTTTTATAACTGCTTAGGAGACTCATCTGGGTATTTCCATGGGTTACAAAAGTACTGGAAACTCTTCCTGTGCTGCCAGATTTCTGAGATACATGTCACCATAACCTGGTATGAAGTAGATCTGTGCTGCTGAGGGGAGTCATAAAATACCAGGCTGGTTGGGTTGGAGGGACCTTCAAGATCATCTAGATCCAACCCCCCTGCATGGGCAGGGACACTTCCCACCAGCCCAGGTTGCTCCAAGCCCCATCCAACCTGCCCTTCAACACTGCCAGGATGGGACATCTGGTGCTCACAGCTGTGTATGTGTATGGCACATAAGCCATAGGATAACTTAGCAAACTGTAGCCTGCTACCTTAGTGTTAGAAAAGATTCATCTGGACACTAAAGGAGAGATTTTTGGGTAGAAGGGGCTTCTTATGTTGACGAGTTGGAATTTCACCTGTTTGTCCCCCTGTCCAGATGAATTGGACACCATGGGCCTGACTGTGGTCACCTCGTGTAATGAATCTGTAACCTGAAAATACCACCTGGGCCAGAGAGCAGACCAGGAGAACACTGCTGAGATACTGGTCTGCTCAGTTCATTTATGCCTGAATTTTTCTAGTGCAATTTTTTTTGAGAGTTGCAGATATCCCTTCAGCAAGATTTTCTTCTTCATCAAGGTTTTCCTTTCATAAATGGGGCAACCAAACCCTCCCAAATTCAGCGCTTGGGTTTTTGTTTTCCTGTTTTTCTGTGAAGCCAGTGTAAGCAACAAAGGAAGATTTTTTTTTCCTTACCTCTTCCCTTGCAGTCTTCTCAAAAGAAATAGTATAATACTCATTTGAGTAGCTTCTGTGTCCTCGTTGCAGATGGCTGCCTTAGTATGACCTTCAAGAGCAGTTTTACTGGCTTCTTCCCTTCTTTTTAAGACATAATAAACCAAACCTGCAAGGGCTTGGTTTTGGAGGGGCTATTCAGGTGTATTGTCTTTACTATTTTTAAGATATCTTCATCTTCCCTTACAAATTGTCTCCTTAGTAATCATAAGCAGGTTTTCCTCTGAAAGGAAGAAGAATGTAAAAGGCAAAAAAGGTAGCTCTGTGCTTTTCTCTGGCAGATAATACGTCACAATGATTCAGGCAAAATCCCATTTTCTTTTTACCACCCACACATCCAAGACAAAGTGGGATAACTGAATGGAAGCTGCTTACAAAGATCTTCCAGCTACTGGAGGAGAACATTTGATTGTGGAAAAGGGGGAGAGGAGAGAACAGAAACTTTCTTGTAAAATCTGTATCTAGGGAGATCCTATGATCAAATGTTCTCTTATTAGTCATATTCCTTAGAGGCAGAGCAGCTTTTTTTTACTGCTGAAGATGAAGGCAACTTTTCTGTATGTTTTTAGATGAAGTCATAAAGTAAAAAATAACTGGATTTTGATTTTTATTTTTTCCAACTTCAAAATATGAAGTAGGTTGTAAACTTCACCAGGAAAGAAACTCACGTTTTATGGCACTTGGCAAAAGCTGTGCTGAATCTCTGTAGTTTGGGTTTAAATTAAGACTGGATTTATTTTGAAAGATATTCTAGTTTAGTGGTGTGTTTTTATAGAGATGAGCACAGGGAAAATTCTAAAAGCAATATCAAGCAGGTGGCCAGAATAGATTATTAAAAGGTGCTTCTTGACCTTTAAATTTCATTAAATGAAATAATTCTGATTATAAGGTTATGAACTACCTGAGCCAGACTGACATAATATCATTGAGTAGTTGTTTATAAAACTGAGTATATGGCAGGTTTCTTCTAATAGGAAAGTGCCTGCATATGTGCTACCAGTAAATGTGGAAGAGAATTGTCATTTTATTGGGACTGAGGTTGTGGCAACACCTGAAATTATCATCAGGTTGCATTATGGCGATTCTCCCCCTCTGCTCTGGTGAGAACTGTGTTCAGCTCTGGAGCCCTCAGCACAGGAAAGGCATGGAGCTGTTGGAGAGGGTCCAGAAAAGGGCCATGAAGATGATCCAAGGGCTGGAGCAGCTCTGCTCTGGAGACAGGCTGAGGGAGTTGGGGTGTTCAGCCTGGAGAAGAGAAGGTTCCAGGGAGACCTTAGAGCACCTTCCATTGCCTGAAGGGACTCCAGGAAAGCTGGGGAGGGGCTTGGGACAAGGGCAGGGAGGGAGAGGACAAGGGAGATGGATGAAAAGTGGCAGAGGGGAGATTGAGGATGGACATGAGGAGGAAATTCTCCACCATGAAGGTAGGAAGGCACTGGAACAGGTTGTCCAGGGAGGTTGTGGAAACCCCCTCCCTGGAGGTATTCAAGGCCAGGTTGGATGAGGTTTGTGCAGCCTGGTCTAATGCGAGGTGTCCCTGCTCTTAACAGGGAGATTAGAATCTGATGAGTTTTGAAGTCCCTTCCAACCTTCAGCGTTCTGTGATTAATTGTAAAAACAAGAGCCCCTTGGCTCATCTCATTTTTAATCTGAGAAGTCCAATAGCAGCATGAGATGTTGATGTTTCTGGAAGGCACATCTGAGCAGCTTGCTGAGTCCTTTGCCATGATTTAGGTATCTTGGGTGGGATCTTGCCTGCTCTGAACACACGAGCAGCAATCCTCTCTCCAGGTAGAGGCAGAGCACTCAAGCAGTCCTACAGTTTTCATCCTAACAGTTTCCAGGAGCTGTAGCATCTAAAAGTGGCTAAAAACATTGAGAACTTAATGCTTCAGAAAGTTGTCAAGTTGTGTCAACTGAGTTCTTCTCTTGTTTTATTTCTGTATGTAATTTTGGTGAGCATACTTGAGATGGAAAGATTTCCTCTCAGAAATACCACCCAAGTGAAAAAGGAGGAAAAAACTAACACTTCTTTTTAAAAAGATTTTTAACTAGAAGTCACAAAAAGCAATTTCTACTTTACCAAAATATCATTTGAATGACAAAAGCAATAATCAGCCTCAAAGGGGTCACTACAGTCCTGTTGATTGAAGTGCTTTCAACAGAATTCCTAATTGCTCCTTTTGATTTCTATCATTCTTATTTCAGCCAGGTAGATAAATATTAGATGCCATCCAGTGTTTCTTAGTTTTATTTCTTTTTTTCTGAATAATAGGCATTCTCCCCTTTTTAAAAGCTCAGTTCCTAAGGAAATAAATCTAATTACACTGCTGAGATGTTCAGAGAGCTCTCCAAGTTATCATTATTTCTCAGAAAATGCATTGCCTTTCTTGTCCTTGTCACCCACTATTGAAAGAAACGTGGCTGTTGCCACCCCACGGTTGCCAAATGGTTGTAATGCTGCATATAAATCTGGAAGTATTAACACTTTGAAAATCAATTAATACTCTGTCAGACCAGGCCTGTTTGTCTATGATGGCCAGAAAATTCCTGTGCCAGTTAGCAAGACATCTGGTTCCTCTCTGTAGAGCTGGCTCTGCAGCCCTGTCCACTATGGTGTTTTCTGCTGAAAGAGTCTTGGCTTAGAAATAGAATCATAGAATGGTATGGGTTGGAAGGGACCTTAGGGATCATCTATTTCCAACCCCCTGCATGGGCAGGGACACCTCCCCCGCGCCCAGGCTGCCCCAAGCCCCATCCAACCTGCCCTTCACCACTGCCAGGGATGGGGCAGCCACAGCTTCCCTGGGCAACCTGGGCCAGGCTCTCACCACCCTCCCAGCAAAGAATTTCCTCCTCATGTCCAACCTCAATCTCCCCTCTGCCAGTTTTCATCCATCCCCCTTGTCCTCTCCCTCCCTGCCCTTGTCCCAAGCCCCTCCCCAGCTTTCCTGGAGCCCCTTCAGGCACTGGCAGGTGCTCTAAAGGCTCCCTGGAGCCTTCTCTTCTCCAGGCTGAACCCCCCACCCCCCCCAGCCTGTCTCCAGAGCAGAGCTGCTCCAGCTCTGAGGACCTTCATGGCCTCCTCTGGACTCTCTCCAACAGCTCCATGTCCTTCCTGTGTTGGGGGCTCCAGAGCTGGACACAGTTCCAGGCGGGGTCTCCCCAGAGCAGAACAGAGGGGACAGTCCCCTCACTGGCCCTGCTGTTCACGCTGCTGGTGACACAGCCCAGGACAGGGTTGGTTTCTGGGCTCCAGCTCATGTTGAGCTTCTTATCCACCATCATTCCCAGGTCCTTCTCTGAGCTGTTTTCAATCCATAAAAAACAAACAAGGTGAGAAGGAAGGGAGAGGAAAAGACACCTAGTGTCTTCTCTGAAGAGCTGAGGTTCATGCATGTTGAAGTAATTGAATTAATTAATTTTGTTCTGGATAAATGCTCTTTTTATTCTCTGGAATACCTATCATTATGGACTGCAGTTCCCATCTCCTTTTTCTAGGAATATCACCTCCTGTGATTTGAGGCAACACAGAGGCTGTGTGTGCAGTAGCCTCTCAACTTGTCTATGATCAGCTACCCAGGGAATCCACCTTAAGCTTTTTATGTTCCTGTCACTCTTTATTTCTTTGATTTAGGGGAAGTTAGGAGACCTGGAAAGAAATGTTCTAACCTTCCTGCCTTCCATTCACAGTTTTCAAGCCCGAGGAGCTGCGCCAGGCTCTCATGCCCACCCTTGAAGCTTTGTACAGGCAGGACCCCGAGTCCTTGCCTTTCAGGCAGCCCGTGGATCCCCAGCTCTTAGGGATTCCGGTGAGTTGACATGAAATAACCCCCCAAACCAACCAGTCTTTGCATATACAAACCTCTCACCTTTTCCTGCACACCACAGTGAGAACAGTTGACATCTTACTGAGCATTCTCTTTGTGTTTGAAGGACTATTTCGACATTGTGAAGAATCCCATGGATCTCTCCACCATTAAACGCAAATTGGACACTGGGCAGTACCAGGAACCCTGGCAATATGTGGATGATGTTTGGCTGATGTTTAACAATGCCTGGCTTTACAATCGCAAGACTTCCAGGGTCTACAAGTTTTGCACTAAACTGGCAGAGGTGTTTGAACAAGAGATTGATCCTGTGATGCAATCCCTTGGCTACTGTTGTGGGCGCAAGGTGTGTATCCCAGGGGTGGGATGGTGTCTTTCCAAAGACCTGAGCTTGAGTCATCAGCTAAAACATCACCTTTGTGTGCTCTTTTTAATCACTGAATTACTGAATGAAAAAGCTGCTAAAGGTTTGGCTTTATTAAGAGCACGTTAGGAGCTCATAATGGTAGATGACATCCTTCTTGCTGCTATTCTGTTATCACTGCTGTATTTTTCTCCCCCAGAGAACACCTTTTTTGCTTTTAAACAACATTCAAATGTTTTGCTTGTTTCCCACATCCATTGCAACAAAGTAGGCAGGTAGAGGGGTCAGCTGTTTAGCTTATATATAGTTAATAACTGAAATTAAATTAAGAGAGCTGTGCTTATACATTTACAGTAGCTTGGAAACGTGTGCTAAACATAAGGTTATGATATCAGGAAGTGTCAGGCTTGCCTAATAGATACTTGATTAACATAAGATTCCATTTTAAAGCTTCTTTTCTCACCTTTGTTTTGCAGTATGAGTTTTCTCCACAGACCTTGTGCTGCTATGGCAAGCAGCTCTGTACTATTCCTCGTGATGCTGCCTACTACAGTTACCAGAATAGGTAAGTCCCTGACTTTGGTTTGGTTGGTTTTTTTCCATATTCAGGAATTGAGATCCTCTGAGTTCTCTGCACATACAGAGGAGGAGGATAATTACCTTTTTCTTTCCTTTGTTAACCAAGTAGTTATTTGTGTATCTTTGCATGCTGTCCTTCTGCAGATGACCCTTTAGTTTCCAGTACTGCAGCTTAATGCACACTGAACTGAAGTGCTTGCTATTAGCTAGGCTGTACCACACACCACTGAAGTGGGAGTGAAGTTGTCCATGGTTTCCACAAAATGAGTAGCAGGACTTGCTGGAAAGAGAAGGGCAGAGCTGCAAAAAGGCACTGAGAAATCATATTCCCTTCTGCTGGGGGAATTGTAAAAAATATGCAGGTTTGTTTTCAAATTAGTGTCAGAATTTGCAAAGTAAAGGCTATAGTGACTGATAGCAAGATTTAAATTCTCTCTTCCTAGCTAGTACTTAATTCTGTTTAAGTTAGCTTTAAAAACTACACAGACTCCATGAAGAGCTACAAAAACAATAGCTTCTCTTATTGTTTTAATTAATACTAGCATTTGGTGTTGTATGATTACTAAGAAATTGTTACATTATTAAATCAACAGTGCTATCATAACAAAGGAAGCTCAGAACTTGGCTTTTGTTTGGGTTTCTTAGATGTTTCCCCCTCAAAAAAAGAAAAGCAGCATTACAAAACATAAATGGGCTAAGACACAAACTTCCTTTTCTCTATTTAAAACAGTTATGAATTGCTTTCCAGAGGCTTGGCAGTCTGTAAGGCTTGCCAGCCTTCAAGTGCTGTTCTCTATCTGAATTGCCAGACCCAATTCAGACAGTTGGTGCTTGCCCTTACTCTCTCTTAGGGTGATCCCTATATCCCCAGTCACCCTGTCAGGTGGTGCACAACTGTTGTGAACCACGTAGTTGAAGCAGCATGTTGTGGGAGATGAAGAGGTGTTGTCTTGCATTGTATGTTGGTTTTAGGTGGCCTTTGGGAGGCAGGTAGTGTTGACCAGGAGGAGTATAAATTCATAAGCTCTCATAAAAGGGTTTATACAGCCCCTGTGACCTCCAGAAGAAGTTGGTCTGAAGAGAAATAAAGCAATTAAAATGCATTTAAAGAGACACCTCTTTTGGAGGTGAGGGGAAAAAATAACCCTTAAATACCAAATACTTTTCATATTAAGGCCCCACTGGATGGGGCTTGGAGCAACCTGGTCTGGTGGGAGGTGTCCCTGCCCATGCCTGTGGTTGGAACTAGATGATATTTAAGGTCCCTTCCAACCCAAACCAGTGTGGGGATTCTTTGATTATACATCCATGTAGTACTGTGTTTGAAAAGAATAGCAACTTCAAAAATAAACAAAGGGGTCATTTTTCTTTCAGTTATACCTTTCCTGTTGAAATTAGTCTGAAATCATCTGGCTTACTCAGTGTTGGTTGCTAGCAAGAAGTAGAGGGATGATGGGGCAGTGGGTTGCTCTGAACAGTTGGTGATGCAATATTTTAATTTCCCACCTGTTGTGAATGTGATAGTCCACTTAGATAGTCCACTTGCACTGAGTTTAGTCTTAAAAGGAAGGAATAAAAGGGAGGTGATTGGTCCAACTGTCAGTAGAAAAGAAGCAGAAGAGAAGTGTTTCTGTTCATCCAGATGCCTTGAGAAGGGGTTGGGGTTTGGGTGATTTGGCATTGGGGCAGGGGAGCTTGTGAGGTTTCCTTTTTCAGGTCAAGAAATGGAGTGATGCTTTTGAGTTAATTTTGAGTTAAATGGAGTGAGGCTTTTGGAGTGGGTTTTTTAACAAAATATTTCTGAAGATCAGTCACCATGTTTTTGAAGTGTGCATTTGGACTGTCAGATCATTGAAAGCCCTTATTCATCAACTGTTTTGCTCTAAAACAGTTAAATAACTGTTTCTGGTAACAGTGACCTTCCAATCTTAGATATTTTTTTTTAGCTGAATATCAAATTAGGGAGAAACAAATTCCATGGTTCCAGCAGATCTTTAATTGGTCAAATGTTCTTGACTTTCTCCATTTATGGAACTGACAGAATTGGATGCACTTGAAGTCCAGTGTATCCCATAAGTACATTACAACTGGGAGTATTTAGGCACCAGTGAATTAATGAACTCTGGCTCTACAGTTCAATGATGAAAAGCTAATTTGTTGTAGAATAGTTTGGCTTCCATAATAAGGCAGAAGTTGAGGTTAAAGTAAGTGTTCAGAAAATATGCTGGATATGTGAATGTCCAGTTGAGAGCACTGATGTTTCACATCAGAACCAGCATCCAGTTACTCATTTAGAATTTCCTTTGAATGCACTTACAGTTGGAAATTCACCTGTTCATGCAGAGATTGAGCATTTTCTGGACTTTGGTATTGAACCATAATGGTACTGTCTGATAAATGGCAGTTGGTCACCTGAACAGTCTGCATTTGAAAAGCTTTTCATTTTGTTGTGTTGCAATAAGTACATTCTTTGGATTTTCTATGGCTGTTAAAACCTAGCCTATTGTATCCATGTAGTGACATGCACAAGTCAGTGGATTAAAAGCAAGTCTGTCTTTTTGAGGGTCCATATTCACAAGTTATGAATTGTTTCACCTTGGTTATTTTATGGACAAACGTTCATGATGTTCAGGTGATTCATTTCCACTGTATTTTTTTTTTTAATTTATTTCCTCATTTTTAATACCATGGATTAAGGCTTGACTCTTGCTCTCTTTAAGCTTTGGTTCTGCAGCAGGTGAAATCCTGTGCTCCCCTTTGG